CCTAGTGAAAAAAAAATAGAGGCTTACCTGGGTAAATGCATTACAAAAGGATCTAACACGTGGAGAGAGGGTAAGAATAATCCAAGGTTTATATTAACACTCGGCCGATTCGATTTCCATTATTCCTTCGCTTGAAGTTGGACTTGGTAATTTGGTAATGTTTCACGTTTTAGTAGTCTCAAGTCAATCTAATATTATTATTTTTGTCAACACTGTGGTGAATGTAGCACCACTAGTGGCTGCAGGGGACCATATGAACAACATTACCTGCAACGTATTTTATTTTATGTATGCATGTTTACCCAGGAAAACCTCGCTGGATCTCACGATTCTCTTTCGGCCTTTTTTCTCGCATTAGTCGGCAAAGTTTCCACGTCTTATTCCAATGTAGTAGTGTTCAGGTAATCTTTAAACATTGAAATGTTTGGCCAATACCATTTACACAATGTGTGTGAGTGTGTGTTTTTAACTTTTCTTTTTTAACGATGGGAGGAAACCGGAGAACACATTGGAAGCCCACGCAAAAACAGGGGGGAGAACATGCAAACTCCACACAGAATGACACGAGTTGGGATTTGAACCCAGGCCCTTGTTGTGGTTAAGACACCAGTGTTACAACCACCGCGCCGCCACCCTGCCGAACTTGCCAAACTCGACGCTCGGTTTGTTTGCGCGTGGCGCACGGTTGATACATGCGTGGTGGGCATAACAGCGGCTCTTGAATCGACGAATCGAAGTATCGTAATAAATGCATTCCTCTGACTTGGGCTCGTCGGAGCGTGCGTAAGCGGGGTCCATAAATCAAGCACGGTGACACCTGCCGTGCGCACCATTACAGCAACGCGCCGAATTGGTTTTGATTGAGCAAACGTTTTGGGATGGCCGCACAATGGTTCGTGCAAGGACACGGCATTGATGGACGAGATGCATCACGCTACGATACGTGGATTTGTGACCCGTAGTCCAAACAACCTGGCACAGCCCGTCTGATTACGTAAAGCGGAGCACGGGTGTGGTGCAGGTGCTGGTGGGCAAAGGACACGCGAGGCTCTCACGCCATGGTTTACTGTAGCTCATTGAGGCTGCCCTCTTGTTTGATTGGCCGATTACGACGCTGCCCATCTGCTGGTGTCTATCTCTGTGAGTGCGTACCTGTGGGTGGGTGGGTGGAAAGACGGCAGCGGCGCGCTACGAACCCAGCCACACCCGAGTTTCAATTCCCGCTCAAGGCCAACATCAGTGGCGATTTATCTGAACTTGTCCTGCGCCTCCCCTAGGACGCCTACATCTGAAACGATGTGTAAACATTGCTATAGGTGTGCTGTGCCGGCCTCCATAGATGCTCGCCAGAAGTACTTGCCCCAACAGTCTGTTTAGGCTGTATTTGTGTATCTGTTGGTGTTTGTCTCCTGGTATCTGTCTCTGTTCTGTCTCTGTGTCAGTGTGCCTATCTGTCGGTGTGTCTGTCCATCGTCTCTCTTGGGTAATTCCTTAACGGGAAGATGTGAAATGGAGACAAACCACATGCAGTCATCAAAACTATTGGGGATCGTCTTTGCAAATACTGTACTACAGTAGGAAAACGAACCGGTTTTTGCAAATCCGAGAGCGGAACATTGGTCGCCTCACGTTTTGAATCGCATTTGCAGATATACGCACACATCGAAAGATGCAACCGATAAAAATCATCATGCCATAATCAAACAGTGTTTGTGCGGGTGTGTTATATTTCTAATAATGTTACGTAATTTGACAGAACTACTAAACTACACGTGGCCTGTCGCCTTTTTTTGTGTTAAGTCACAATGCCCTTTGTCGTCATCAGCCATGATGGATAGATCCACTGCTGGATGAAAATGAAACAAATGATTTGGTGATCTTGCATTGGCAGTGGTGTCACATTCCACGATTAACTCAACAAAAACTCAAGTCCGTCAATAGTGCTGTGGCCTGATGAGAAACATCTTATACGGTCGGCGACGTTTTGGGCAATGGCCCTTTTTCGGAGTACGCGGATGGAGCCTTCCCAGGCCATCGCCATTTCTCACGGGTCTCTCGCGATGCACCAATCCACGTGGCTCCTACACACGAGCGGATTTCAGTGCTTACATCTCCGCGGAGCGTATCCTCTTGGGCAGTGTGTTCCCTCCACAAAATGCTCCCACGCTTACATTTTTATTCGTGTGTCGATTTTATCATCGTGTTTTCTGTGTCGTGGGTATTTCCCCCAAGTATTTATTGAATGTATTCTGTTACTTTGAATCGGTAATTTGTCTTGCTTCAGCGTTGTGTTCCCATGTCGTTTCTTTATTTTCTAAATTGTGAATTGTTTTCACTCTTAGACCCCTTGCTGTTACAATAAATACATTTTGACCCAGATCTTCCGTGAAAGAAAATAAAACTACTGCTCTCAACGGGCTCTTCTCTGTTTATATAAATACTTATTTTTATATCTCACGACAAGCAGTCAACAGAAAAAACAACTTAATTGACCCGTAGTAAAGGTTGTGGTCAGTGGCCACGAAGGAATATTATAGCTTCGGGAATTGACTCAAGACTTTTCACTGGCATGTGCAGTGACACGTTAGACATCGTGCCAAACAACTACAGCAACAAAGCGGCACAACCCGAATAATGCAGGGTGGAGAGCCGGACCCCGCAGCGCAAACGCTAAAACCTCCACAGTGATCTCTGACATGTCCGCTGTGGGTGTCGTCACGGCGGTGCAGCAGGTAAACCTAGCAAGACGACAGCGACCCCCCCCACCACCACCACCCCGGTTGTGACAGAGGCAAGGTGTGACGATGCCGCAGGGCCCTGCCTGGCACAAAGCCCTCCACCTGTTTTCACAGAGGGATGAGTTGGCACCACGCGGGGGGGGGGGGCTCTTCTTTCTCGGCCGCGTGCGTGTGGCCGATGGCGCCGCTGTGTGGGTGATTGATGGGTTTTCCCACTCCACCCTGCCCGCCGTCGCTTCTGTCCTTTGCGGGCTTCTGCCTCGGAAAGTTGTTTTTGGATGTAATCGAATCGTGGACCCCCCCCCCCCTTCCCCACCACCTCCCCCCCGAATTTGTGTCAAGTCATCAGGTCGTGGGGAGCGCTACGTCGTTGGTATATGAAAGGAGTTACATTTTCGCTACCATAGCTGGAGATGCACATTCAAGATTATTGTCGGGGGGAGGGGTGGATGGGATGGGTTTGGGGATGGGTGAAGGGTTGTGAAGGCATGTTAGATGCCTGCACATTGAGAACCCTTCAGAAGCGCGGGTGATGAATTGGATACCATTGCTGACGTCGCGTTTGAGCCGCGGCGACGGGAACGATTTAACGATTTTGGTGGCCCCAGTCGAACCGCGAGCCTGGCGGTGGCGACCTTCGCCGTCCCTGACCTCTAACCCCTGCGCTGCCACCTGAGTTGCAGCTGCCACATCCGTGCAGTGTGCTGCGGTTTGTCGGCGTGTGGGGGTGGAGAGTGGCGCTAAGCCTCGAGTGGCCCCCTGTTGCAATTCTGATGTGCTCATTATTTATTCCGCTGTTCTTTTTTTTCGTGCTGAATAAATACATTTTGTGAGATATTGCGTCGGAGCAATGAGCCCGCGCTTCTGAGATCCTAGATTCGCATCCAGTTTTTTTAAGATGCCTTGTTGAATAGGCTCTGTTCTTCGGCAGAGTGAATCGATGGTCTCAAGCCACTTGCCAACTGCTGCACCAAAAAGAAACCACGAGAAGTACGGTAGTCCAATAATGTCCTCTGCCAGGGTGATTGTTGACACGGCTTGCTGCAAGAATGGCAACAGTATATATATATATTTTCGTTTCATCTCAGGATAGAAATAACACCGAAATACGCAAATGGAGTCATCATCAACATCATCTTCGATGTCGTCAGCCGTGGCCAAATCCTCCTTCTGGGGTGTAAGCCTCCCCAAGCTGTTCGGACAAATGGATTATAATTGGGGAGGGGATTTTACTTCCTGCATTAGAAAAAGGTGGCCTTGACCCCTATATTTATAGCTCCCCAGGCCTCTCCTATGAAAAGAAAAGCATTGTCTCAATGGACATGCTGCTGACTGGCTTAACTCAAGGGCTCTGCGAAGTAATTTTCAAGAGTAGACCAGTGTATCCGGTTGCCTTGGGCCAATTCCAAAATTAGAGGATTGTATGCCCATGGAGTTATTTTTAAACCCTCTACCACACCCCCCCCTCCCACCATAATCATACTCCATTCATTGTACTATAACAAGATGACACGATTAGCCCCACACCTGGTTAAAATAAGGCCGATGGGTCCGCCGTGTGCTGCTCTGGGTGCCTTAAATAACAAGAGATTGGAGTATTGTTAGGTATAGTTCTGCGGTACAGGGATGTAATCAGTACCTGCTTGCTACAGCTTTAGTTTATCTTAATTAAGCGGACAAAAAAGCGTTAACACTCACTGCGGATTTACTGGGGTTGGAGGGGCCCTGCTATAAGTGTGCAAACAACGGTTTGGTAAACTAGCAGAGTCGCCGCTATTTTTTTTTCGATGATCGCCGGATTAGTTTCCCGTAACTTTGCAGTTATTGTGCGATGTTTTTTTGTTTGTCAAATGCTTGTGACAATTTTCCACCTCCTCCATGGACGCGATTCGAGGGTGGGGGTCCGCGATCGTAAGCCGATGGTATTTTAGTTGAATTCAGCGCCATTTAGATTTTTATTGTGTCTTTAGCCTTACCGTAACAATGCCCTCCCACCACCCCGCACCTACCCGTTTGCTTAATTGGTAAACTCCTGACACATGCGTGATGTGATGTGATGCGTGAACCCCAAGTGTAACGATCGTCGTCAGCAGGCGTCATTGCTCTCGGTCCATCATTGTCAGAGGGCAACCCTCCTCGTCCCCCCCCTTCCACTGTGCAGGTTGTATTCCTAATCAATGAATTTGCTCGTCGTAATGTTTCTGGCATTGGTCCTTTTGACGACGACGACACCAATGTGTGTGTGTGTGTGTGTTTCCACAGGGCATATTCGTTGGTGGACTCCAGCCAGGTGTCCACCTTCCTCATCTCCATCCTGCTCATCGTCTACGGGAGCTTCCGGTGAGATTTACTCGCTCGCCGTTTGTTGTTGTCTTTGCTGCTGTCCGCTGGTTGCTCGTTGAGGCGAACTCGTGTCCAGTGGACGGTGGCATAGACGACAAAAATAGGTTTTTGATCAAGGTACCAAACCTTAACACTCAGTTGCTCGCTCTCACTCATTTTCTCACTTTCTCGCTCGCTCTCTCACGCAATTACTCACTCGCCTCGCTCGCTCACGCGCACTAATGCTTGCTCGCTCACACACAAACACACATTGCACAGGCAGCCATGTGTGCTCTGCCCACATCTCCTTCAACGGCCGGATTTACAATCCCGAAAAATCTCTCTGCGTCCATGCCGCCGAACACCCACCGTCCACTTAGTTCATCTCAACAATTAGCAATTCCCGAAAGGCTCACGGAACGTGGACACGGAGGGAGAGTTTTTGGGACGGCAACATATTTTCCGACCTCTAGAACATTTTCTATGCCCGATGTTTTTTATTTTTTTATTTTTCACACCCCCCCCACCCACACCTCCACCGCTAAAATTCAAGCGAGCCGAGTTAGTCGGCCCGGTCAGGCGGTGCGGGGACCTCTCCATTGCTCAATGAATCCCGTCGTTGAGTTTAATTTATGAAGTCGTGGACCGCGCGCGCGTTGACTTTGCACGGGCGTCACAGATGCAGGCGCAGTCGCGCAAAGTCTTGCTTTACATAAACCTCTCAATTCATGGCTTATAATAGCATCTAGTTTCCTGGGTTTACATAAACCTTTCTATTCACAGCTTGTAATAGCATCTAGTTTCCTGGTGGGGGGGGGAGGGGGGTCGTGCGTGCGCCTGTAATCATCACCAGCAGCTATAATGTTGAGAGCCAACCCTCTCCTGTTCCAATGGTGCGTTTTTGTTTTTTTTCTGCCTTTTTTTAATTTCCAAAACGTGGCATTAATCAAAAGGGCTCCAGCACAATAGGCCGTGTGTGCGTGCACATGTGTGTGGGGGCGTGTGCGCACAGGCCTGTGTGCATCTGCGCGTGTGTTTGTTTGTATGTATGCGTGCATCCATGTGCGAGCTCGCTTGTGGGATGTGTGTGCAAATTTGATAAGTGCATGTGTCTTAAATGAGTATCTGGTACAGCGTTTGAATATCAGCACGAAGGAGACTAAGGTGGCCGGGCGGGGTGCTAGCCACCACCCACTCCCTCGTGTACCGTACCGGCCTTCAAAGTTGCTCGCTAGCAGCACTTGCCCAAATAGTCTGGGAAGGCTTTACGTGGGATCTTTGTCTTTGTGTGGCACAGTGGGGAGTACAGGTGGTTCACTCATCTCCGTTAACTTTAAACACCTGCCTCTGTGCCCTGTAGCCTGCCAGTAAAATTTGGACACCTCTCACGTGGTCGCAAAAGCACACCTCGCCTGGCGCAATCGCTGTGGGGGTGACATCTCCGTCACTCAGTGGCGAACGGTGGCTGTTGTTGTGCGTATGTGCACGTGTGTGAGCAAATATGATTTATGTGCATTGGTGACTTGTCCCTGTTTGTGTGTGCGACTTGCGGACAAGGGCCCGTCCGTACCGTCCCAGCTGGCCGCCACACAGGGGATCCATTGGCATCAAAGGGCACTAATGCCTTCGCCTGCTGTCTGCCGCGTAATGGAAACCGTTTAAACCTCCTGTTCACCGAGATCCATGCGAAATGCTTTTCTGTCGGAGCGGGTGATACTCATTCGCTCGGGAATTAAGGGCCATGCTTGTGTCGGGAAAAAAAAATCTTTCTACTTTTTGTTGGGAAATATTTAGACGCAATTATTTACGTGGGTTTTGTTTTTTACATGCACGCTATTACCCAGAGTTTTCTTGGCTCCCGGTTGCGTTTTTTGGGTTGTGCCATGTGTTGTTCGTCATGTATGGTATGTTGAACCTCTTTCGCACCGTACGTAGTCAACCGTGCTAATCGGAGGTGCGGGAAGTGTTCGTCGCATGACCATCAAACTCATGATTTCTTCTCGCATCTGGACATTTAGTTGAATTCAGTGCATTGCCAAATTTAGTTTTTTTGGTGTGGGCATTGATGACCTGGCCAAGACCGTCAACTGACTGCACTTGACAACTCGGTTGTAATCAAGAGGCCGATGAAACCTGGATTCGAACCCAGGATTTTGGCGATGCCAGCTCCTGAGCGTTCTAACCTCTGAACCACCTGTCCACCAACTTCAATTCAAACATCTTAGTTCATGTATTTCTTCGAGAACGTTTTGCCCCGCTAACTAACGTTTTTGTCCGCCTCTCAGGAGACTTATTTGTGTTGTCCCCCTGTGCAGGCCATTGTGCAAAGCAGGTGAACTGGTTCACAGTGAGCACTATGCTCTCTCTCTCTATTAGTGTGCGCAAATCTGTTTACCCGAAGTGTTGTGCCCCCACCATCCGCCCCGTGTGTGCGCTTGCGGTCCCAGTGGTTCCACTCTTTGAGGTTTTGTAGTTGCATCCGTCAGCCCCTGTCAGACGGACGGAACGCGATGTTACCGATGTTACCGATGGTTTGCGTTGCTCTGACCCTTAGTTCTCACGTTAAATACGCTTTGTTATGTTCAACCCAGAACTGGTGGAGATTAGAAGGCACGGGTGGGGGAGGGAGGGAGGAGGAGGTGGAGGTTGGATGGGGGAGGGAGGGGGATGGGGTATCAGGGGGAGGGGGGGCAAGTCTTTTGAACATATTTACTCTTGACCTGAATGTATGGAGGTGGTCTGGCTATACATGCCCTGGCAAGATATTTTTACACTATGCACTATTTAAACTCCTTTGAAGCTGTGCTAATGCATGTTATATGTACACATGTTTTGGTGGGTCTCGTCCCCAATATAGGATGCCACGGTGGCGAGATGTTATTTTCCTCGCTTGGTATGGAAGAGGTCGTGGGTTTGATCCCAAACCCTTTCACCTGTACATTTGGAGTTTGCATGTTCTCCCCATGATCACGTGGATTTTTCTCACCTCCACATTTATAAACATGCATTTAAAGTATTTGGTTGCTATACATTTTCACGTGATAAGCCACTTCGTTGTGCTATCATTTGTGGCCAGGTCACTTCTGAAAATAAGCTATATAAATCAAGTGGGCCTTACCTGAAAAAATAAAATATATATTATTTAGCTTAATTTTTCCATTTGGTGTACATCATGTTCATAAGATAAGGCATACATTTGCGCACTCACAACAGCTCTGCTGCTGTTGATACAGATGTTAATACTGCAGTCACTAGGGGCTATCCACTTGCTGCATTTCATCACCTGGTATAATCACAGTGCGCCTGAAACTCAAGGATTCTATCCCACGATCTCACCCGTGCTGACTCACAGCTCTGACACCTGGGCCCGGCCGCCACTTTATTGCAAGTTTGTTTAAACGTCAGCTTGTGCATACGACTCTCTGTTAGCAGAGCATCTGTGCCAGAAGTCGGGGCGATGGACCTGCGACCATCAACTCGCTCAACTTGAGCGCTCGGTGTAATCACAGGCGGCTGAAGTCCAGACTCGACCTGAATCTTAACACTGCCTGCTCATTGCTTTGACAGCCCCACTCATCCATCACACTTCACTGCTGCATCTGTTTAAGCCTGAGCATTTGCATTTGTTAATGGAGCGTCTGTGTCACTGTCTCTCCCGTGCCACCACCTCTCCACCGGCAGGTCCCTAAACATGGATGAGCCAGGCCCCGGAGAGAAGGACAAGGAGGGCGGCGGTCACTCTCCCAACTGCACGGGGGCTTCGAGCACCAACAACAGTACGCAGCGTATGCTTCGCGTAAAACATGCCACGTCGCGCGTACACACTGGGAAATAACCACAAGCAACCGCGTGCATCGGCGTGCAGCCGCGAGCAATCGCGAGCATCCGAAAAAAATGCCGTGCCACGGACGAGCTGCTGGTGCGGGGGTCCTCGTGTCAACCACGGCAGGGAGGCCGTCATGGTTAACCCCCCGCCGCCCCGTGTGGCTGCGTGTTCATGCGCACGCGTCGTGACCCGCGGGCCCCAGCGGTCCAGTGGTGCGAGTGGTGCCATTTTATTCGTGGCATTCGCACGGAACGTAAACGCAGCGCCACGCCGGACGAGCGGTTGCGCAGAGGAATGGGTCAGATGGAGGTAAAAATAGCTCCTCGTGAGAGCTGCCTTTTAGTTTGTTTATCTTTGCTACATATGATATCGAGTCATCCCGGGACAAGGAGATGGTGTACGTATGTGTTGAACTTATTTCACAACATACGTAGCCAAACCGTTGGCGTAAGTGGTAGCAGCACACTCCGCAAAAAAAAACCCGGCGACCTGAATTTTGATCTCAACCACGGCTAACATCAGTAGCAGAATGCTATCGGAATCGGTCTGGCCTTCCACCTCTCCCCCCCCCACTACCACCTATTCACCATTAACCCACTGCCCAGCATTTTCTAACGACCGATGCGGCATTGGCGAGGCTTTCATCCAGCAGTGGATTGACGAAGGCTTTGCACGAAGGGTGATGTGGTGGGCCGAGTAAGACACCCAAGCGGCACTTGAACCCCCCGAACCTTTGAATCGCGAGTCGCTTTCTCTGCTGGCATCGCCACTTTTGCGGGAGGAACGGTAAAGCATTTGCCCCTTGGGTTATACAGGCAAATGAAGAGTTTACGAGAGCTTGAGTCGACCAGTGAAAGGGCTGAGCGCGTTTCCTGATTTTGCGAGCATCACATGGTGTCCATAAAAAAATCACGCTCGCTCGCTCTCACCTTCTCTGACTCAATTACTCACCTTCTTCGCTCGCTCGGTCACTCGCACATCGCACAAGCACTCACGTGCTCTGCCCCACGTCTCCTTCAGCGGCCGGATTTCTCACCTCGAAAATAGTCTCTCCATCCATGCTGCCGTCCACCGGTCACTTAGTCCATCACGACAATTATCAATTCCCTTGAGGGTCACGGAACGTGGACGCGGAGAGAGTTTTTGCGGCGGCACGGTGTGCCCCGCACCCTCTGCCACGGTACTTCCCCTCCCAAATAACGTGACATCCTGCGAATGCTCTTTCAATTTTCTTGTCGTCGACATTGTCAATTTCATTCGCGGTGTATCTTTGAAAGCGCGGTTGAATAAATTTGCCAAAAATTGTAAGAAGAGAAAAAAAAAAATGACGTTTCATTCCGTCTGTAATGAAACGGCTTTTGCTTTGTCTCCCCCGTTTTTGCGCCGCGCGTGTTTATAATTAACTCCGGCGTTTTTAATTTTCCGCTGTCGCTCGCTGCATTGTCACCGAGCCGCGGTTCTAATTCGCGAATAAGCCGAAAAGATTAGCAGTGACATCATCGCGGGACGTATTGGCATGCGCCACCTCGTGGCCGTCGCGGCTAGCCCGCGTCACCCTTCCACCGCGATAAGCGATTGATTCGCCTTTTCACGCGGTTGGTGCTCTTTGCCGTCCGTCAAACGTCGGTGTTTTTTCTTCTTCTAATTAGTTCGATTTCGGCACAGTCCGTACGTCTGTATGTTGAACTCCTTTCGTACAGTACGTTGCCAACCGTTGAAATCGTCGCGTTGAATCGTGCAAATAAGAATAACTTATTTACTGTGTATGCACGTTAGTCACTTGCAAATGTTACGTTTTTAGGATGATGCAACTAATGAGAGACACCACACGGGACTTGCGTTACTAACAAGGCCCGAAAGAGAATCGAGTAATTTAACGAACCTCAATTCGTGAAGCCTGACAATTCATATAAAGTGGTCCCTTGGTTAACAATATGAATTGGTTCCATGACAACCATCGTTAATTATATTATTGTTAATTGAATATAGGAAACACATGTTAAAGGCTTAATTTGTTCCAAGACGATCATAAAGCGGACCCTTTTTCACCCTAAAAACACAGTTTTATCATATTTAAACACGCAATTTAATAAATGAACGCGAAAATGACATATTAAAGCATTCATATGAATAAAAAAATGGATAAATAATGCATAAATAGAGCACAAAATAAAAATTCTTACCGGAGGCTAAGTAGATGGATAGCGTGAGGGGTTGATGGAGAAGTTGGGGTGGGAGAAAATCAATTTTGGAAGGAGAGTCTTCTCCCATGAGGACCGCTGGAGATTCAGGGGTGAATACTTTGTGTTTAAAAACAACATTACGTAGTCAAGATAGCTGTTTTGATAAGCAACGCACATTAAACACTGAACATCTTAGTAGCCGATTGCTCTCAAAACGCTCGTAAATGGGTGTCGCTGATTGGCTGAGGTCTGCTGTCTAGGCCACTTAGGAGCGCTCCGATTGGCCAAAATTGGCGGGTCCTTGTGATATCGTAAACGTATCGTTAATCTGAAATGTATCGCTCATAGAAACAATGGGACCCCATGGGAGGGCGGATGGTTAGTCGAAATATCGTTAATCGATGGCATCGTAAACCGAGGGACCACTGCACTCACTGGACGTGAGGGTGGGGAGGGGGATTCATTGTTACATGGCTGGTAACTTATCTGAACAGCTGTGAGACGGACCCTTTAATGATACAAAGTGAAGTCAGAGGATATCCATTTCACTACGTGATACAAGACACGAAGTCACGATGCACAACAGCTGATGAACCAAAGCCAAATTGCCGGTTTATTATTTTCTGCGCAGGTGGTGGTGGGTTTACTGGGTAAAAAAAGAATGGGGCAGGAACTGCCTTCCCACCGACGTACATAATCTTGGTCAGTGTTTGGCTCTCTGCAAATGTAAGACGCTACAATTAAGACATTTCAACATTTTTTTAAAACCTATGACTTTTTCAGAAAAATAAATTAGAGCAGCTTCAGCTTGGACCCTAATGCGATGGCACAAGACAACAACAACAAAAAACGCTCTCGCCAATGTTTCCATCATTATTGACGCTGCTTTAGATCAGAAGAATCTTGTCTCGGCGCCAACTCTATCGGTTGAGTCGGTGTTCCTCCCTACGCTGCTGCCGAAGGATTTGGCCATCATGTGAAACATTAGCCAACTTTATTCCCAGTTTTTTTTCCTTCCCCGTTACGAGGCAGTGCGCGTGAGTAATTCAGGCGGCGAGTTGCAGTTTGTTCTTCGTCATGCTCTGTGCCCGCGCCCTTCGCAGTCAACTCGGACCATTCCCTCCTGTGATTACTTGCCACCATCCCGATAAGAGCGACTTCACAAAGCTTACAGCTTCGCCGGGTAGATTTCCCGCGGGGATTTTTACAGAGTCGACAAGTCTCCCCATCATCCTGCTTTTGCAGCGCACAGCGCGCGCCTTGCGATGACAGCGCATTCGTGTCCCGGCAGTGGCGCCGCTATCGAGTGTGTAGGCGGTGCAACTGCACCAGGGCCCCCCGTGGTCCGAAGAAGCCCAGGCACACTGGGCTAAGGAGAGAAAGGGGGGGTCGGGGTAGTGGGCGGTGAGGTGTGGGGGGGGCGCCCATTTGATTAAATACACCTGGGCCCTTTCCAGACTCGCTACGCCCATGCACTCGCCATATCCGCCGACCCAAGTCACAGCAGCCAAAGCAGCTGTGTTGTCATTTTAGTGATTAATAATAATTAATCCTGGTAGTCGGCCATGCTACGTCACTAACGGGTTCCATGTCCACTCTCTACTACTCCTGTTGCTATCCCCTCTCTCTCTCCCTCCGCTCTGCTCTCCCCCTCCACCCACCACCGCTTTTCCCCACTGTGCCCCCCACTATTGCCCCCCCCCCTCCCCCGTCTGCAGGCATCCAGACAATAGACTCGACGCAGGCGCTCTTCCTGCCCATCGGCGCCTCCGTGTCGCTGCTCGTCATGTTCTTCTTCTTCGACTCGGTGCAGGTCGTCTTCACCATCTGCACCGCGGGTAAGACAAAGGTGTCCGCCGGCTCCTCGCTCCGCTCGCTCACTCGCTCGATTCTTCATTGGCTCGGTGCTCGGTGCCAGGAGAGCCGGCCGATGGGGGCAATTGCAGGGCTGCGCCTTTTCCCTAATTTCTTTTAAGCAAGTGCGCGAAATGCTTGCGTCCGGTTGTGCGTATGTCTGTGTATTTTCGCACAAACGCCTGTCTTGTGAGTGCAGTGAAATCTCCTCGCCAAATTGAGGCCCCCTCCCTTAATGGACCTGCTCGCCAGCTTGTTTTTAATGGCAGTGCTGGCTTTGAGCTCAACGGACAGATGCATGTTAAATAACTGAACCTCCTCCAGGCGTTGAGCGTGGTCACAGCTGTTTTTACCAGTTCACCCAGACACGGGTTCTCACCTGGTTTAAAAAGAATCGTCACCAACTCACAATGTTTGCGCCATGAATACAAATTAATTGGTAAACATATTGGCGTCTTCACTTTCGTCGGCGCTCCTAAGCCAGTCGTCGTTAATTCCCATTTCCACAGAGCAGGGGTCATTCTCTTTGTAAGACGGACTACCGTTCACTTAATATTCTTTGGGTCTTTCGGTAAAGTCGCGTAGAACAAAAAAATAAAAAACTACCGTTGACGTCCGACAAAACGGTACTGTCTTTATCGATCCCAATACGCTGATGAGCTGGGTCAACTTCCTCCCTTCCCTGCCGATCCCTCCCTCTCCCAACAGGGGTTTAACCCGTAACATTGTGATTACAAGACAAAACATATATCCGGAAAGTGGTAATAAAGGAGTGCCTGTGTAAGCGTTAATCGTATTTTTTTAATACGTCAACACAACCAGAGTGCCCTCCGCTGCCTTTCGCCGAAGCCCGAGTCCCCCTAGCCGGCGCTCGGGTGACCGCGAACGTAGTTAATAATCCCCGAGGCTCTTCCTCGACCATTGCCCGAGCGAGATGGAGATTACGCCGCTCGGGGATAATCCTTCCACCTGCTCGGGGACGCACGTCTCGTCCGTGCGACAGGCGAGGAGACACCCTCCGTTCACGGCTTCGCTAAACTCGCGAGCTGCAGACGGCCGCGCGGTGTTTTGCGGCTCAACCCCCCCCCCCCGCGCACCTGCCCTGCCGCCCTCTCGCCGAGTGGCGGTCTACGTCCGATTCAAGGTCACGCTTGATGTCGTGTGACCGCGGCGAGAACTCAAAAGGAGATCCGCGATGGGTCTCGTTTTGCAAGGCTCACCTGGGTCACCGAAACGACGAAGGCAAAACCGAACGAGGTTAAGTACAGCAATGAAGGAAATCGATCGGAAACGACAACAAAAACTCCCGCGTGCATGTGTGGCGAGTGGTGGCGCCAACTCGTTGGGTTGGGCCCCCCGTCCGCACGTCCCCGTCGGTCTAAACCAGCGGTACCTTTTTGGCACCAGGGACCGGTTTCGTGGAAGACAATTTTTCCACGGACCAGGGGGAGGGGGGTCACCATTGAGTCTTTTCCCATTTTCAAAGAAGCTCTCCAGCAACGTTTGTTTTTTTAACTCATTTTGGCTACTAGGGGTTGGCAGCTTGTGGGTTCACCAAAACTGTGGCTGAGACAAGTGCGCAGTGCGGGAAAGAGGCGCGGACGGAAGTTGTGAATAAAACAATGGGGGCAGGCCACGCGCGGACTCACCGCTCACCTCGTGCTGTGCGGCCCGGTTCCCCTGGTCTAAACGGCACGCGTCTGTCTTTGTGTGTTTTTTGTGCACCCACTCTTGACCGGCGCCCCTCTGCAGTGCTCGCGACCATCGCGTTCGCGTTCCTGCTGCTGCCCATGTGCCAGTACCTGACGCGGCCCTGCTCCACCCAGAACAAGTAAGCGTCGCTCATCGCCGACACCATCGCCACGCTAACCACGCTCCGGCACGACCTTTGAACCTTCCTTGCCTGTTTTGTACGAATTGCTCGGAGCAACAGCGGTGCAGCAATTCGTCAAATAAACATCTATTCTATGCATATACAAACACGTTATTTACAGCAGCACCACCACCAGCATCATCGGTTGTGAGCAGATGGTAGGGTGATGCAGCGGTAACACTCGTGGCTGTACAGGACAAAGGACCTAGGTTTGATGTTTAACTTGGGTGGCCTTTCTTTGTCGAGTTTCAATGTACTCCCCACTGTTCTGAATTGGTTTCCTCTGGGTTCTCCAATTTCTTCCCATGGCTAAAACATTACAGGGTCTTCAGAAAAATATGCCCGAATGTTCATCACATTGTTTCCTAAAATAATACATGCACACAACTTGATATTTTAGCTGCCAGAAGAAGTTTGGGAGTTTTAGATCATGTAAACACAAAGACAAGTAAACACGTCTTTGTGTGAGCGTGGATGCCGCGCTCACTCGTTGTGGTTTGTAAACTGTAATTCCAGTTGTACGTGTATTATTTTAGGAAACGTAATGAAAACTCGGGTGTATTTTTGAGAAGATCCTGCACAGTCTAATTGGTGGTGTTATTATTATCAATGGCAGAGCAGAATCATTACCATTGAATAAATGACTGGGCTGGGGTGAATTATTGCATCCGCAAATCACTAATGCTAGGATTTTTGCGTGGTGGTCACGGAAATCGGGAATTCTAACCGATATCTAAATTGCGAATAAACACAAAAGCGAACGACACATTACACATTCGGCACTTAGTTTATTTTATTTCAAAACGGTGTACATTGGGAAGATGTGGGGTGGGCATCGGCCCACTTTGTTCCGTGTCCTTTCTGTGGATTATTTTGGGGGGGGGGGGGGGTGGCTGATTGGTTTTCCTCGCGGCACGTGGCCCGTAAATTTTATGAAAAACTACCGTTTGCTAATCACCAACTCCAACACCTTCGCACTCATCGCTGCCCGCCCACACTCCCTCTCTCCTGCATCATCGCCCGTAGTGCTTGACCTATATTTTTAAATCCTTTGTATTAAGTTCGCTTGCGTGCTTGCGTGCTTGCTTGCTTGCTTAGGACCGTGCAAAATTTTACACTTTTTAGGCAAAAATTTTTTATTTTACACATTCAAATAGAACGCATTCAAGGCTTTGGCTGAACATCACAGTGCAAGAGCCCAGAGCGTAACCCCTCCACAGGCCGTGGTGGAGTAGCGCAGTTGGTAGCGCCCTCGCTTCCCATGCCAAAGGTCGCGGGATCGATCCCCGCGTCCTCCACAGGCGAATATATTTTTAAATCCTTTATATTAAGTTCGCTTGCTTGCTTAGGACCGTGCAAATCTTTCGCTCGTTTTTTAACCCACTTCCCGTGATCCAATCGACCTGACATTTTCCACACAGACTCGTTGTGTGTGACAATTAATTTTCGTGAAATTTTTTTTCCAAAATTTTACACTGTTTAGGGAAAACTAATTAAATATTTAATTACCATTTGCTTAATACTGGCAGACAATCATCTGACCCATAGATTGCAGCCATCTCAAGCCAGAGGACGAGATAACTCTAGCCGCCACGCATATAAAGGATTTAGAGTGAAAAACGTTGTTTTTACGGGTTTACTTGTTGCCCATAAAGATATAACGCTCTGCTGATTTATTTTATTTATTTTTCTTCTCCCTGATAACGCAACACGTTCAATGCGACGCGTTTAACCCGCCTTTGCACTTGAAAGGCGGCTGTCGGGGAGGTGTATTTCCTTGGAGGGTTGGGCGCTTCCCCTGCCTAAACAATCACAGTGGAATCTATTATAACCTGATCTCTGACACCTGATGGGTAAAAAAAAACATAATCCAGATTTTAAAAAATAAATGCCACTTAACAAGGCTTTAGCCCATTGAGATTCATAACCTCGTTGGAAACGGGTATCCGATTAAGGATGGTTACACCAGTCCGTTGTCAACGGTGCGTTTGCAATTCTCCAGAAAGCTGGCAAAGGGCACCGGCGGCGTGACGACCTCATTTATTTTTTGAGAGCGACTGTTTCATCGGCCGCGATCAAATCTACTGTTGGATGAAGGCCTCCACAAGCCATTCTCGTTTTCTCAAGTTGCTGCGATGCAACGATACGCCTGGCACCACACACACACGCACACATACACACACACGCACACACATGCACACACGCGAGCTGACTTTCACCGCTCCACATCCGTGGTGGACGCCCTCCCGGGCACGTTTCTTGCTTCGGCTTGTCGCTCCGTCGTGAGCCTTGGCCATTGTCTCTCGTCCCTTTCCGTGGTGTGTGTCCTACCCGAGCTGGAGTCCACGTCGCTTGGGAAAACACTGCGAGACAGAAAGAGCAATCGCAGGGATTGGAGAACTTATGCATATTAGAGACATCATGCCGACTGTCGTCATACAGGACATCATTGGAGGCACTTTTTAATGCCTGCTTTCTGGAAGGTGGCATGCTCTGGTACACCCGCACACAAAGCCTGAGGAAGGGGCTCGGTTGGGATTTTGACCGTCAATATAGTTAGGTGGCACGTGTGGTGACCGCTGGGCTTTTTAAACGAGACTATTTTTAAACTTTTTTTTTTCCAGGTAAATCCCACTGAGCTATAGAGCTCTTTTGCAGAAGCCACCTGGCCACAAATGATAGTTCTACGAAGCGGTTCATCACATGGACATTTATAGCAGCCAAATACTCCCAAGAAGCATGTTGATTCTAAATATGGAGGGAAAAACCAGAGGACCCAGAGAAAAATCCACGCTACCACGGGGAGAACATGCAAACTCCAAATATACCGTCGTCAAGGTCGGTATTGAACCCCCACAACGTTCTGCGTACTAGGAGAGGTAGTTAACTTCTTGCCCCACTGCCCTCTCAGTTTTTACCACTGCGTAAAACCCCTGACTTGGTTCAAGAAGCTCACCATCTCGAACCCCACCACTGTCTCGAACCCCCACCGTTCTCACTCGAGCGTCCATTCTTTCTGGGCACTTGGCATTTGAGCTCGTGCTGTCAGATCTTTCGCTGTGATCAAAATATATCTTTTACGACTATGCTTTCCAGACACCCAGCTGATTGAATTTGACATCCGAATGTTACATTATTCACGATAGATTTTTCCATAATGCACTTTGGTGATCTCATGTGATGGTGCAAGGCATGCTGGGAGCATTGAGCTCCCAAAAGGCCCTCTTGTTTGTCTATAAAGCCCAAGTATCACGACTGTTATTTAATTCCAGCCTGCATGCACTTTTTAAATCCTTTGTATTAAGTTCACTTGCTTGCTTGCGCGCTTACGACCGTGCAAATCTTTCGGTCGTTTTTTAACCCACTTCCCGTGATCCAATCGAGCTGACATTTTGCACACAGACTCGTTATGCGTGACAATTTATTTTCGTGAAAATTGTTTTTCCTACATTTTCCACTTTTTAGGAGAAAAAAAAATTATATTTAATTTAAAATACCAATGTGATAAAAATGAACCTCTTACTCAAGAAAAACAGAAATGAATAATAAAATTAAACCGATGCCACGCATATAAGGATTTATAGTGAAAAGCTTTGTTTTTACGGGTTAATTTTTTCATATGATGAATGTCTCTTCACGTACAAATATAAAGTGATCGAATATGGCTTTACAAAATTTGGTCGGCGAACAGCCAATGGGGTGGAGACGATTCCCTTGCGAGGCGCCTATCCTCTTTCCGTTCATCCCCCGGCTGAACCTGACACCTTCCTCTGTCCGTCCCTTCCCTTGGCGCTGGATTCTTAAATTAACATTTTTCTCTCTTCTCGCTCACAGTTGCGTGACAGAGAATTTGCGACTCTCGGCTCTTGTTGTTGCCGTCAAGGGACCTTCGTAATAATTCCCTCGCTTGTGTTTCGCAACCGCGCACGCTGTACCGTGCACTACCCATCACATGCTGCCACGGTGTAATGATTAGCGCCGCTGGACTTGCAATCTCACTGGTCCGCCAGTTTTGGTTTGATCTCCCGGCGCAAGCAGTCAAAAACAATCGTGCATGTTTTCGTAATCATGCCCCATCCCCACCACCCACCCCGCCCCCGCCGCTTGTTATCCACCCAGCGGTACGAATGGGTGCATCATGGTTAGTCGATCGACAGGTACTCCCGTCTCTTGGAAGACGCCTGGCCTCCATGGAGGAGTAGGCCAAAATGTCCACTCGAGTGGCACTTCTAGAGCTCCCTTTAGTGGAGGCCCTTCCACCAGCAGTGGCACGGGCAAGCAACTGCAGGGCTGCACCTTTTACCAATCGTCCCTCGCCGTGCAACAAAGACCACCCCCCGTATAGCCTCTAACGGTCTTTTGGGGCAAGTGCTGTTCGTGAGCACCTATGAAGGACGACACGGCACACGAGCGGATGGGTGGCCAGCACCATGCCCAGCCACCTTTTGCTCCCCAGTGGCAATGTTTTTACACCTCGCACCAGGTACTCATTGAGGTCGAGTCGACCTAGGGGAGGCCGAGGACTGGTTCAGATAATCATCACTGGTGTTGGCCATGAGCAGGAATCGAACCTGGATCGCCGCTACACTACCACTCGTTGCACTACCACTCGCCGCCAAAGACAAAAGATCCCCCATATAGCCTTAACAAACTGTTGGGGCAAGTGCTGTTAGCGAGCCGTCTATGAAGGCCTCTCGCCATAGACACACCCTCACTGCATGCTATGGTTTCCTACACCCACCCTCCTCCGCACATTTGCCTCCTCCTAGTAATCCCGTGGATCTGGCTAAGACTCGAAAGCATCAGGCGTGATGATTCACACAGCCTTGGCAGCAGCCCAGCACAGCTGCTGGTCAAAACAAATCTCCCATCATCCCTTAAAAAAAAGATTACATGGTTCTTAAAAAAAAATACATTTCCGATTTTTTTCAGCGGTCAAAAAGATCCACATGGGGTGAGTTATTCAGTTAATTCATGCCGGGCGGATTACTCTGCGCGTGAGATGTGCGATTTCGGTGGATGCGGTTTGATTCGGGATTAGTGTGTGTGCGCGTGCCCTCGTGTAAGGGGATGACATGCTGCGAGTAGCCGGTGGAGATTGCGAAAGGTAACGGTAAAGGCACAGCCCTGCAATTGCTCGCTTCCTCGTCCACGCACTAGTCAGGATTAGTGCTCCTCCTTACGTAGCATCTCAGATCTGACACGATCAGGAGAGATTTCCGGCATGATATGATCGCAGGCCTCGATAAGGATGGCCGCTGTTGACTCTCCACTAAAGGGTACTCATTTTACTGACTCCGGGGAGGGGATGATGGATCGTGGAATCTTGGAATCGCACGCTATTCACTTGCGTGCCGTACTCTGCAGCCCGTTTTTCCCACCTGGCCAACGTGAGCGCTGCATAGAAGTCATTTCAGATGTCACTTTTCTGCCAAATACAAAGGCGAGTTTTATCGATGCACTCGAGTGGCTCTCTTGTGGTGCGGCCGCTTTTCGCTCTGCTTGAGATTTCGGTCTGAAAACCTGTTGAGACCTGCGTTTTACAGGAGGCCGTTTTTCATCGAGCGTGCTGGAGCTCGCACACTTGTGCGCCCGCAACGCATACCAATGTGGCCTCGAGCGAAGAGTTCTTAATCATTTCGTACTTCACGCTGTGACGTGCACATCGTTCAGAAACACGGTCTTTTACAATAAAAAAAAATGCATGAAAACTGCGCAAAGAAGCGTGGAGAGAGGCAATTATGGCATTGCAGTATCTAACCGAAATTCTTAGACTTGACTGCGCATGGGGAGATGCACATTCATAGATAGAGGAACGAATGGATTCGATGACATACGCAGGAAAATTACTCTGCGAGCGGTTAACAAAAGTGAGCAGACTCGAGTGCGACATTGTCGCTGGAGGAGACAAATGGCAGAAGAGTAATAGAGTGGCCACCAAAGGAGGGAACGATTCCCAGAGCACATCCACTAGAGAGAGATGAGCAATGAAATCGGCTCGTGCGCAGGTGCCCTGTGGATCGTTATTTCGCAGCATCGTGAGCGATAGCAACGGCTAGATGAGGTCTTTAATCTGCCAGTGCATCACTGGTCATAGCTGATGCTGCTGCTGATGATGATGATGACTGGAGCACGTGCGATGGGTCAGGGGAGGCGTCGCACGCAGATCGGTATGCGGGACCCCGCGCCGCCGATATCAGCTGTCGCCTTTTCAAGGTCGGCCTGCCAAGGAGACATTAAATCCTGGGCTTAGCTCAGTCCGGAATTCCTACTCGGATGAACGCAAAGAAAGCTAATGGCTCTCGAAATTGAAAGCAAATGTTGAGTAAAACAACATTCTTGCGGAAAATGTAAAAACAGAAATTGTCGACACGGTAATCGCAAGTGTTATGCGAGTGCGTGCGCGCCAGTCGCAGCGTTATTGGCGGTAGACGGGTATCGACAGCAAAGCCAGCCGTGGTGGCGGTGGCAGCGTTTGCCTGTAAACCCCGCACTGTGATAGGTGGAATAGGCGTGTGACGCGCAAACTCCTGTCATGTGTGGGAGACGCTCAAAGTGTCGAAAAGCGATATGGCAGTACAGCAGCAGGCAAGGCAGCGTGCTTCACTGTGACATTTCTTGGGGCATTCTCCCTTCCCGCACATAAACATCCCCATTGATGAACGTGCTAAACATCCCGATGCAGAATCCTGCTGAAAAAGAACCTTGCGACTTCCACCGGGCTTCTGTTTGATGTATCACTCAGTCAGTGAAGGACAGTGGCATAGCGTGGTAGGCATGGGCTCTGCTGCAAGGACTTGAATGGGACCCCCCCCCCCCTCCTCCACTTCACCCATTAATCCAATTTCCCCCACTGCTCATAGCCCCGGTGTCTGAGCCCCTCCCGCCCTTGGGCCCCGGTGCAGTTGCACAGCCTGCACACTCGGTGGCTACGCCGCTGGGTTGTGATGAGATGGGTTGGCATGCGGAGCTGAGTTGTCTCGCTCGCCGGAGTTGGGTCCGATTTGATCCGCGCGTTGTCTTCCGTGCGTTGCCCCCCCCCCCCTTCCCCCCCGCAGGATCTCGTTTGGCTGCTGCGGTCGCTTCACAACGGCCGAGCTGCTCTCGTTCTCGCTCTCCATCGCCCTCGTCCTCATCTGGGTGCTCACCGGACACTGGTTGCTCATGGACGGTATTGATCTTCGTGCCCCGCTTGCAGTCGTTCTCACGTGCTGTCGGTATCGTTTCTCGCTCTCAAGAGACGGAGAGAGGCCGTTGGGAACTCTCTCGCACCGCGCTCCCTGTTAGAGGCGAATGGCCTCACGGTGGAGATTATGATTTTGGCCAGGAACATAATACAAATGCTTTTGCTGCTGATGATGTTTGTATGTATGTTGAACTTCTTTCGCACAATATGTAGCCGACAATGCTAAATCGAAGGGGCGTTGGAAGGACAACAGACTAAACACAAAAAGCAGTTCCAAAAAAAATTGTTTTCAATTTAGATGTCAAAGTGCATATCTCCAGTGGTTTCCAAATATTGGAAGGAAGAGCATTCCAGACAGCCACAGAAGCGGATCTGAAAGCACACAATGCAGTGATCGTCTTAGTTCGATGGCTAGACAAAAGCCGCTGCTAGGAATAAATGATGTTGATGATGCTGTTGCTGCTGCTAATGATTCTGTTGGTGGTACGTCTGTTACTACAGCTGCTTGTGACGATAAAGATTCTATAAAAGCTGCTGCTGGTGACTGATGCTGATGTTAATGACGCGCACCACTCCGACAGTGGTGGCAGCCGCCTGTTTCGTGATACCAGATCAGGGCCGGGTGGACTCCGTGAATGGGAGCCCATTAAAAACATAACTTGTGAAGAACACATGCAAAGCGCCGTTAATAGTCCACGGAGGAGTCGAAACACAAAGCACGGGATTCATAGCGCGCTACGGGAACAACTGCACCTCGGGCTCCACCCTGTGCGAAAATATAAATTCCAAAAAGATACAAAACGTTCTTTTAAACAACACACCGTAAACACGGGGAGGTGTGTGAAAATAAATCTGCCATCATGTCTCTTCATGGTAACATAAACCTTTGCACAGCATGCGAGCTTTTATGGCAGCCCTGCTCATGAGAGTCGGGGTGATGCGAATGCCTCTTCTTCCCTTTGCGCCCGTGCGTCTGCGTGTGCAGCACTAGCGATGGGCCTGTGTGTCGCGATGATCGCGTTCGTGCGACTGCCCAGCCTCAAGGTGTCCTGCCTGCTGCTCTCCGGCCTGCTCATCTACGACGTCTTCTGGGTATGGCCCTCGCGTGTCCTCGCGAGCACGCCGCCGTACACCCGTTGATTGTCTCCGTTGAATATTTTTTCGTGTTCGTGCACCGGCTACCGACGAGGCGTTACCGCGATTATTCGTGATTGGTCGAGGTCTGTTAATTGTCGTCGCGGCTCGTCTCTTTCAGTAGAGGCGTGTCGGCGAAAGTTGGCCATGTAGCTGATATCGCGACAATGGTCACACCGTGAAATATAATAATGTAATATCCTATCATATATCGTGAAACACGAACCCGAGGAACGACGTAGTTTAACCAGGCGGGAACTCCAAACCAGGGTTAGTCCCATTTGCAAGGGTGACCTGAGGCATTAGTTTAGCCAGTAGTAAGGGGCGATGATTGCGACTCATACTCTTTAGTTCTTTATGTAAAGTCACGTAGGTATAAAATAAAATAAATTAAATCACGACGTTTCGGGCGCAACACAAGCGTCCGTCATCAGGTAGGACAACCACAGCAAGAAACAATTGCTGACGTGGGCAACAGAGGTGCTTGTATCAAGAGTCCCAACGTATGGTCCCAATTGAGTGACGTGGCGACTCGTGTGCCTGTGCATGGCGCCCAACGGTCGGCGCTCTGCACTACAAACCCAACAACCCCAGTTCGAGTACCCGGTGCGGTGTGTGAACAACGCCACTTCTTAGACAAAAGCGGTCGAGCGTGGCGCTGTACCGTGCCGGCCTTCATTGGCGCTTCTCCGCTAACAGCACTTGCCCCAACAATCCATGAAGGCTTTAATGGGGGATCTTTGTCTTGTGTTTGTGTGTGTGCGTGCGAGCAGGTGTTCTTCTCCGCGTACATCTTCAGCAGCAACGTGATGGTGAAGGTGGCCACGCAGCCGGCCGACAACCCTATCGACGTGCTGTCGCGCAAGCTGCACTTCCCGCAGGGGGGGCGCGACGGCCCCCGCCTCTCGCTGCCCGGGAAGCTCGTCTTCCCCAGGTGGGGGCGGGGAGGTGGGGGGGGTTGTGGGGTAGGGAGGTGGTTGGGGGGGTTGGGGGGAGCAGCGTTGATGGGCAGCGCGGATTGATTTATTGAAGTTGGACGCAAGTACAATTCGTTTTTTTTTGATAATTGGTTTTTTTTACCCTTCTATCTGGTAACAAAACTGACACCTTTTTACAAGGAGTCATGTTTGCATAAACCGCAATACCTGCAGTCATAATACAAACAAAAGACATAACTCTGATAATGTACACTGTCCTTGAAGTTGATTGGTCCACACCCGAGACAGCTTTCCTTAGAGCCTAGTCTCGCATGGGTTGGACCAGATGAGACAAAGAATCCGTTCAGATCTCTCCCGCGGAGCGACGCGCGCGACCCCGTAGTGTTTGACGACAGCCCACTCAAGTGGAATACCACAGAGCTGCCTCTGAGATCCGTTCACGTGAGCTCCGGTTCATGGAGAACGGGGCGACTATTTTACCGCCAACTCTGCCCGAGGGAAATGCTCGTCGCGTTACGTTCGACCTGATATTTTAATCCTTGGGCCTGAAATTCAGTCAAATTAAGTGCAGTAGCGAATGCAATGTAATAGCGGGGTTAATTGTGCAGTCAATGACGACTGAGCCGAGACCATTAACACACCACGCTTGACAACTCTAGTTAATCATAGGCGACTTAAATCTGGATTCGAACCCAACATCTAAGCAATGCCGTCTCCCAGCAGACTATAAGGCTTGGGCGCTATGGTGGCGAGATGTTAACTACCTCACCTGGTATACAGGAGGTCGTGGGTTCGATTCGGATTCTGATGCCTCTATATTTGGAGTTGGCATTCTTTCTCCCCGTGGTCGTGTGAATTTTTATCCGTATCCTCTGGGTTTTTCCCTCCACATTTAGAATCAACATACATTAAGAGTATTTGGGTGCTATAAATTTCTACATGATAAGCCACTTCGTTGAACGATAATTTGTGATGGCCAGGTCAGTGGGCCTTCCCTGGTAAAATAAAACATAGTTTAGTTTATTTCGATTTAAAGCTTTCGTGACTGCAGGGATTCATCTTCTTGGTTCTTTCGGTAAAGTCACGTAGAAGGGAAGTAATAAAATAATAAAAATAAAACATAATAAAATAATTCTCACGACGTTTCGGCCACAACGCTAGCAGCCGTCCTCGGGTGAAGAACAGGTCTGTCAAGAAGATAGTTTAGTTTAGTTTTCTTCACGTGGCATCTCCGTGCGTGTGCGCGTGCTCAGTTCGAGTGGAAGCCACTTCTCCATGTTGGGCATCGGCGACATCGTGATGCCCGGTCTGCTGCTATGCTTCGTGCTGCGCTACGACAACTACAAGAAGCAGGCGAACGGCGTGGACCCAGACGCAGCGTTCCCCAGCCGCATGCAGCGCGTCTCCTACTTCCACTGCACCCTCATCGGATACTTCATCGGTAACGCCGCTCGAAGCCAACAGTGGATGCTGCCGCTGGTGCTCTTGCTGCTGCTGCTGCTGTTGCTGTTGTTGCCAGCCTGAAACTTCCACCTGCTGCTTGTCTCCCCATCGCTCTTCTTTGCCCATGTTGCTCCTCTTCATTCGTGACTTCTGAACTCTGCGATGTCGTTTCGCCGCTACCGCGTTTCCCGCTGACTTCTTTCCTGCTTCTCTTCTCTTACCTCGGTCTCCTCTCCGCTGTGAAGTCGTCTCCCATCTCTCGTCAGTCACGTTTCGTGACCCGTGCTGCCCGTCTCCCGCTCGATTTATTTGGCTTTAATGACGGGCATAATCGGTGCGTCACTGTTCTGTCCAAAATGCTTTACTCAACCCTCTCTCTCTCTCTCTCTTAGTGATTACTCCAAAATACGCACTTAGCATGCTGTGCGGGCTTGCGTTCGATGAGCAGTGCTCCAAAGCACCTCGGGGGAGCGCTTTTCCATTGAAGGGCCAGTCTAGCCCGGAGCGCATCGCGACATCGGCTAACAGTCTCAAGGGAGCTGTCTCACTGAGCGGTTGGGTGGGCGTGTCGGACTCCAGCCAATCGAGAGGCGGCCACGCCATTGCCTTCCCGCGAACTCTCCGTTTGCGCACTCGACGCGCGCCCCCATTGGCCGAGCCGGGCGAGTCACGGCATCGCACCACCAATCGCGAGCCCTCTTGTGTCCAGACGCGCCGTTCGGCAAACAACCACCGGCCGCATCGCATGTTGGGGAGCGCCCGCGGCGCTTAACAGACTGTTGGGGCAAGTGCTGTTAGCGGGTGCCTAATGAAGGCCGGCACGGCACACCAGGGAGTGGGTGTCCGGCACCATGCCCGACCGCCTAGTGGCGATGTTTACACACCGCACCAGGTACTCATTAGAGGTTGAGTCGAGGCTCAGGACCGGTTAAAATATTCGCCACTATTATTGGTTTTCAGCGGGAATTCAACTCAGGTGACCGGGTTCGTAACGTAGCGCACTGACCGCTACACTACCGCTCCTTACCACTTGTACACACGTGAGCGATTGAGTGTATTTTTCCAGGGGACGCCCTGTCAATCGTCGGATCATTGTCTCGGTGTGCGTGCGTGTCCGGTGGCCTCTGTGTGCGTGGCTGGGTTGGTGGTGGTGGGGGGGTGGTGTTCAGGTCTTCTGACGGCCACCATCGCGTCCCGCATCCACCGGGCCGCCCAGCCTGCACTGCTCTACCTGGTGCCCTTCACGCTGCTGCCGCTGCTCACGATGGCCTATCTCAAGGTGACTGCTCTCACTCTGGATGCACACGCAACAACAGCGCATGCGCAACAACGACGCACACACTCAACAACAACAACAGCAGCAGCTGCTGTTGTTGGCGACGTTACCATGGCGCACGCGCCAGGCTTAGGTGCATTTTGAGGCTAAGTCAAGTGGCGAAGGCTTGCTGCACTCTGCGATGGCTGGCGCCAAACTGTGCCACGCCCTTCCCGCATGACCTTGTGGGATCTTCGGTACGTCATCCGACCCTGAAGGTGTACCGATGAAGTTTATTTATGTTTTTATTCCGATTGAACGAAATCGGAAGAGAAACTGATGATGTCGACGTACGTCGTCGGAATTGGGGAAGGGTTCATGTAGCACATTTCAGCTTTGGGAGGCATGGCCCTGAGAACACCGGTGGGGGGATGGTAACAGTCTCTCTCCATCTCGTGCTGGGCCCAAGTGAAATTCTATCCCCCTCCTTCCCCGACACCGCCCCCCCCTTCCCCCCCTTGGTGACCCCCATGGCCACCAGCAATTTGCCCTCTTCATCTTGAAAAAGCTTTCCCGCTCGGGCACAGGAGCGCCACCGCCGAGCGTTTCTGGCGAGCGGCTTCTGCGAAGTGACTTGAAGGGGTAATTTCCGCTCGGTCATCTTTCCCGGGCCCCCCACACCACTACACCCCCCCCCCCCCCTGTTTTCTGTTAAATGTCATCAGCAGCGGAAGGAATGTTTCGTTCCTACATAACACGTACGTGAACTTCCACTCGTTGTCAATTTGAGAGCACGTTTGCGCCGCACGAGACCTTTTGCAAGGTGATTGGCTGGTGTGCAGAAAAGTAGCGTTACAGTACAGAAATCTCACTTTGTTTATGTGCAGCACCTAACACCCTAACACCCATCCGCGCTTGCGCGTGGCTGTTTTCTGTCCAGGGCGACTTGCGACGCATGTGGTCCGAGCCCTTCCAAGCCAAGAACGGCGGCTCCAAGTTTCTCGACGTATGATGGGAGCTGCGTTACCCCGTCCCGGAATGCTGCCAGCGCCGGCCATCGCCCTGCCCAACCCGGAGCCCCCGAACGTCAGCACGCACACAGCGCCAAGGCCTGGACTGTCTCCCCTCCAGCAGTGCCCGACCGCTAGCCTGACCGCTAGCCCGACCGCTAGCCCGACCGCTAGCCCGACCGCTAGCCCGACCGCTAGCCCCATACACCTCGGGCCGGTGGCATTGGTCAAGAAAGTCGTGCTGAATTTATTTGTCCACTTACTCCGCCACACCCACAATGCCCAACCCAAACCTCGAGCTCCTTCGGACCATAACTGACGTGCACAACCCATTGGTTTGGAAGTTCTGTTTAGTTACGTTTTCCAGTTTATTTTGTACCGTTTGTATTTCCTTCCACCAGTCGTTTTTTTTAATCGTTTCTATTTATTGCTTCGTTGTTATTTTTTTTTTCACGCGAAATAAGATTGAAAAAAGGGACCCCACTTTGACCGACGCCCCCCCCCTGCCCCTGTCCGGGCACCGTCGATCACGGAGCGTTCGTGGCCACCCTTGTGGCTTCTCCAATTCGACCCGCCACTGCACCGTCGCATGCACGGCGCCGTCTGTGTGTCACACAAGCCCCCAGCCGTTGTGAAGTTCAGGGTTCGTCGTTTGTGTGTTTTGGTTTGGGTCATGGGGAGGAAGGGTGGTGGTGGTGGTGAGCGATGTAGGGGCTAGGTTGTTACTGCTTTTTTTGTTGTTTTTAAAACAAGACTGACTTCTGATCGTTGCTGTGCACGCGAGCCGTGGATGATGCGCGAGATCCCCCGTTGCTCGTTTAGAAGGAGGAGCGATCGGAGCCCTGGCGACCGATGCCTCAGGTTGATTCCCCCGCATCCCCCACATGCCCCCCTATACCCCGCAACACCCCCCCCCCCCCAGGCCCCTTGCCCACTGGGACTCATGATCAGTGGCGGCAGTAGCAGTAACAGCTGTCACCACTGTCCCCTAGCGGCAAGACATCCGCACTCTATGTTTACAATGAACACGAGATGAGTGGCCACCGGTCTGCGTCTACCCTTCTGGGGGGGGGGGGTAGGGGAGGACCCCCCTCCCTCTTCTGTCATCTGACCCCGTAACCCTGGAACGCATCTTAACCCACCGCGAGATCCGAAGCGTGACTTCTTAACGCGGAGCGGGAGGGGCGTTTTTTTACGAACGTCTTTTACAGGTTTTGTAGTTTTGTCGTTCCATTGTTTGTGTCGTCACCGTTGTCATCATCGTCGTCGTCGTCTTTTGAGTTGATTCCCGCCCCTCTAACTACGGTGTACGCTGCTGTGTGCAGCGGCAGTGGAGCGAGAGGGGTCAGAGGTCGTACAGAAGTTGGGGTGATGGGGGTGGGGAAGAGGTCGCTCATTGCCATCGAACCACTGTCGTCCCCCGGCCACCTCACCAGGGCGTCTGGTGGCCACGTGGCCCGTCTATTTAAATGGCCTCTTGTCATTGCTACGAATATTGTTGTTATTAATAAGTATATATAATCAACTACTGTACATTGAATCCACGGCACTGCCAGTGGCTGCTTGCGGTGTGTAATGCAGTGCCAAAGGTGACTAAATAAAGCAAATTAATTTGCGGCAGGGGTGGAGTTGGGTGTCTGGGGCGTGTAAAATGACGTTCTCGGTCAGTTGACTCGTTGCGTTTTAATTAAAATGTTCTCTGGCGGCTCGGCCGTTGGCGAACCGTCGAGACTCGCAGACCTCCATCTCGGCAAGAACGCGTGCACAGACGAGAAAGCGATGCACAGACGAGAAAGCGATGCAGAAAGGTGCGGTGAACGTCGAAAGCCTCTGCTGTCGTCACCCGTGTAGTCATCTTGACGACACCAGCGTAGCAGCCCATGGTGCCAGACGCTGGTGCTGCGGAAGTACAAAATTCGCTTGAACTTTTTATTTTTGAACTTTGCACGTGGTGTGCGCGTGCATGCGTGTGACGAGTCCGACGCGTGCACGTACGGCGTGCGGTTCCAGTGGGGTTGGGAGGGGAGGATGGTTTGTGTTGCTTCTTGCGCCAAACCAAGTCGCCCCCTTCTTGATCTTCCCAGCCTTCCAGCCGTGCTGCTCTGCTTCATTGCGAGCCCACGTTCGGACACTTCGTCCATCGCAGCTTCTCACCGAGAGCACGTTTGAAGGCGTGTACGGATTACGTCGGTAAGAGGCTAACCCGCGTTTAAAAAAAAAATCGTACGAGGACAGCTGGAGCTTGCCCTGGCTCGGATGCTTAACGCCGACCTCTGCTCAGCCGCTAAGCGGAACGAGTAATGCGTTTTGCCGTCCTGAGCAAGGTTGACAACTTCACCCTCTTATAACCCACGTGACTTGACCTCGATCAAGGTGTGCGGTGAGGGCTGGGTGGGTGGGTGGAACCATTGCGGATTTTGAAAGGGGGGGGGCAAGCCGCTGTGGGGTCATCCCATTGTCGAATAATAAGCAAAGGGGGAAGGGGTGGGGGTTGGTGTTTCATGATGGCTATTGTTATTATTCAACATACGTGAACATTATTTTGAAGCATTCTTACATGCGTGTCACGTTGTGTAACATTTATGTACGAGTGTTGTACAGCGTGAAGTTATTGCGACTTTAACATTGATTGTGCGGGGGGGGGGGGGGGGTGGGGAGAGGGCGGGGTTGGGGGGGGGGTGCTCCCCCCCTCCTCCCCATTTAACTCTGGGATTCGCGTTTGAATTGTCCTGGGGCAGTTGATCGAAAACTGTTGCTTGTTGCGTCCGGATTAGAGCGGCGTGTCTTGGTAACGCGTGTGTGAATATGCCGGTATTCTCTTGAAAGAACCAACAAACGTGTCGCCACTTCAGGTTCTTCCGTGGGAAATCGATAATAATAATTTTTTTAAAATTATCGGGCGCATTTAAAAGTAACGTAAGACAGTAGTAGAACGGTAATCAAAAAAACGTTACGATTGAAAGTGACCCACGTCAAATTTCGCGGATATGAATGATAAGAAAGTGATGCTTTGTTTTTATTTGGAATCCAATCTCGAAAAGTTCAACTGGCACGGGGATTTATGAATTCGCCTCTTGTGACATACAATTCTAATAAAACGCGTTCCGGGAGAGAATAGAGAAAAAAGCCCCCTAAACAGATGATATTACACGTGGCCAGTGTTAGCGGCCTCCTGTCAATGTGTGCTTCATTTGAATTCCATACCGATGCCACCAACGCACGCTTACTGCCCCCCTCGACGGAAACGCGCAGATTGACTCACGGGTCCACGAGATTGTCTTCGTGCGCCTGTAATGGATGAAGATCGGCGGCACAATTGGGGTTCAGTCGTCTGATTGAAATCACCGGCCACTCACAAACATCTTAGCAACCCTTCTCATCAACCCGTCCGCTCTCCCCTCCCCTCGCCCCGTGCGCTGCACCCCTGCAGAGAGGTCTCCCAGGTCCGGTAGGCACAGTGATATCACCCATTCGAGAGGCATCTCAGCAGAGTGGCGGCGGCGGCGGCTGCGAGCTAAGGAACGGCTGGGGAAGGTGGCGGGGGGGGGAGTTGTCGGGGGGGGGGGGGGGGCGAGTTCGGTGCATGACGCTGATTCGCACCCGGAGGGAGATGGGGGGGGGGGGAAGAATTAATGTTTGAAATAAAATTGGTGGAAGATTTGGTGGGCTTGGGTTGATTATTATGTATGTTGAACTTGCTTCGCACCACCGTACGTACGTAGGCAGCCAGCCGTGATGATCGGAGTTGCACCTGAGCGCGTGCGAGAGACAGAGGCACGCACGCGGCCGTGTCTGCTGCACCCGCATTTCATTGTTTCATTATCAACGCGTTCACGATATGTAAACATTCTGTCGTTATCGGTATGGGGGGGTGGGTGGGGTGTATTTTATTTTATTTGGCAAACGAGAGTTACTTGTATATGACTTGAAACGCAATGGCCTAAAATGCCATTTAACCGCCATCATCAACAGCTATCAAATGACAACATCAGCCCCACAGCCCCCTCTCCTTCACCCCGTGACTCGGTGGTAGAGACTACGACGATTACCCGCTTCGAGACGATAAGAGCACGGCGAGAATTAACGGCATTTCGTTTTGCTTCCGTTGACAGCACGCATCCCTGCGCGACTGCGGCTTTAGTAAAGCAACAAACAAAAACCAAGAGCGAGATTCGTTTCTCACACAGGGTTCGAGTATCAAAAAAAAACATTCTCCCGCCCCCTGTGTATGTGTGTGCGTGTCCTTTTTTGGGGTCACGGATGGGGGACGACGTTTTACCCCCCCCCCTCCTCCCCCAGCCACTGCGGCAGGCTGCGCGAGGCGTGTCGTCACAATGGCAACAGCGTCGTACAGACTTCACGCACACAAAAATGTCAAATAAAACGTGTAAATATTATACATAAGTGTCAGCGATAGAGAGGCGCCCCCCCCCCCCATTTCCCTCCAACTCATCCTTTTTTTTCTCTCGAATATATGTTTTGTGGGGTTCGTTTGGTCAGCGCGCGATTTGGTTCACACTTTTACATATTTTAAACGAAAACCTCATGGCCAGAACACGTTGTATGATAGAGCGGACGGGGAAAGCCGTCGCAGTAAATCGTTCCTCGTTTTTTTGGTTTCTTGGCGGTGCGTGGACTGATGTAAATAACGTGTCTTATTTCGTTGTCCTGTTTTTTTGTTTTTTTCCCCGTTGCTCTTCCCTGCGTGTTTATATTCACATTGCGTGTACCGTCGTGGTTGCGACGTGATGGACTCCGTGTCGTGTTTATTGCCCGTCTCGTAAATAAAAAAAACCCCCGACCAACAAAACACGGGAACACAACGAGCCCCCCCCCCCCCCCACAAACACGCGAATTAGCTCGATGTGCAGGTCCACCTGGGAGGTGCTCACTGACTTTCCCGACCATCCTTACCCCCCCCTCCCCCGCCGCTTCTGTTAACTCATCCCAAACATTACCTCCATCCCGAATATTTGCAACGGCAACAAAAAATATCTTTAAGAAATGTTACGAGGGTTATAATCGCCGCCCCGTTTTCATCACCACTACTATGCTCGATTCAGACTTTCTCCGATTGTTATTTTACGTTGCGTTCCTTATCCTGTGTCGTGGAGATGACGTTGGCTTATTTGCTACCCGGCGAGCTGATTAGAGCGAGCCGCGAACGATGGTGGTAGAGATTCGTGAAATAAAAACCGCTGTTTCTGAATGCAAAACTGCCCGAGGGCAGTGGCCACGACTCCCCCTCCCCAAGCGAACATTCAATTCACCCTCGATTGTCCGTGGGGTTGACGACGACCCGCGGTTCCGTATTCGCTCGCCTCTAACTTGCACGCCGGCTTAAATCGCCTAAGCAGCTCCTCCACCGCTCGAAGGGTCAGTGACGCAGCGCCCCGACGTGACCACACACAAGCTGGCGAGCACACACCGAGTAAGAAGCGATGCAAATGGGGCAACACTTTGTGTACATGGATCAACAATGCATACGTTTTCTCCAGCCTAAAATACATGTTCGTGTTTTTGCTTTATCCAGGCCATCCCTCGCCCCCACCCCTTCTCCTCCCCCGCCTCTGAACTCCTGGATAATCGAGAGTTGCCTGTATTTTGTTCTAAACTTTTTGGCTGGGGGAGGGGGAGGGGGATGGTGTTTTGAAGTTCGGCAGTGACATCGCAGAATAAAAAAAACCTCCCGCCCGGTGAAACCGCTCCGAAATGTTCAAAGGAAGCCAGTCTGGTTTGTGGAATCCAGCCATAACAATATTGTTGCTCGCGCGGGCTTCAGCCATCGGTGTCCCGGTAGTGCGCGCTCGTGTGTGTAGGGTTAGAGCAACGCCACCAGGGTTCCACACGGCCGCAGTGTTCATCCCACCGTGCTACCGCCTTTCTCCGTTTGCACCCAATAGTTTGCAAATGCAAATCGCGGCATCTGCTGCGCACGTTTCCCGCGTCGGACGGATTTGGTAAAGGCCGGGAAAGCTGCGCCGTGCGTTCCTGTGGGTGGCATTGCCATGGGACCTGCCTTCGTGATGCCCCCTTCCTCCCCGTGGATTCGAGGATCGTCATCCGGGAACGACTTGGTGGTATAGCGTGGGCTTGTACCAAGTCCTGTCGTGCTAAATATAAAAATGAGCATTAAAAATCACAACTGTCGAAGGCCAGAAGTGGAAATCGTGCCAAGCACGGCCGAGGTGTTTGCCGGTGGCGTCTCCACGCCGCGTGGAGATGTCACGCGGCCAATGCAGTCGCAGTTTGGCACTGAAACTCTGCGGCAATGACTGCAGCACTGACTGGATTGCGCGCTCCAGAATTTATATTCCTTATATCAAAATCGAATTATGTAAATTGGGATAATTTGGTCTTAATGGAAAGAATAGAGGGTTTTGTTAATCAAATGGGTCTACCAGCGCACCCCACCGACCACCCCCTGAAAGAGCCCCGGGTATTTAGAGGACACTGAGTGGCCAAACCGCGGCTCGCGAGCCAAGCGCGGAGCCTCTTTCCAGGCAGCTCGAAGGAGGCGCGGATACCTACTTTTTTTTTTACATTTTCAAAATCACTTTCATTTTAAACGGGGGAAAAAAATATTGTTCTGCGGGACCGGCTTGTGCGAGCGCTAACTCCCCCGCCCCCCCCCCCCCCTGGAAGCGGAGTTCTCCTTGAGCACCCCGGCAGTGTTGCTCCTGCGGATTTCGAATTGAAAAACTCCACGGCCCAACCAGCCGGCTGGAGCGTCAGCACGAGAGAATAGGCGCGTAAAGTCGCGGCCCTCGGCCAGGGGAAGATGCCTCCGTGTGGCTTATAGGGTCAGTGGAGATTTGTCCACCCGCATCCCACACCGAGGCTCCTTTAAGAAGAGCCCCTTGATACCACAACAAGGGTGCAATCGGAAGTTCACAGGGTTCCGGTGTCTGGAGGTGTCACTGCCCTGCTGCTTGTGGGGATCGGGGATGGGAGTGACTCCGTGTGGCGTCGTGGGGGTCTCGGTGAGAGTGCAGTAGTGTTTGTGGCAAGCCCCCCCCCCCCCCCCAGTTTCTCCTTTCTCTGGAGTTACCCCCTCCTCCTTTTACTAAAGTCTTATAGTGTAGATGCTTGCTGCTCAAAACTGTAAAAAAAAAAGAAATTACATGCGATGAAACAACATTTTTTTTGTTATAGAGTAACACCTACTTCATGACTGTCGTTACGTTTATCGGTCACCTGATAATTAGACAAACCTGGAATAATAAATCAATAAAAGGACAAAAAAAACATTACGTTTGAATCGTGTTTGGCGAGTTCTTTGTGTGTCTGTTTAATGGTATTCGGTGTAATTTCTGCTAATTGTCATTCAGCCATGGTCAATCAGCTGCGGTATGGAGACCTCGCCAGACCGTCGCGATCTCTC